CAATTACCAATGATCCATGCCAATTAGCCCATGCATACAAATTAAGCTTGCCCATGTCCATACAATAGAGAAACATTACATTAACATTAAAAATAACCACCTCTCCTACTGCTATGTATTGTTTCACATTGAGAGGAACTGGTGAAAAGTTGTTTAGGTCACCTTGAAAATTCACAATTTAAACCTACAGAATGTAAAATTTTACAGAATAGAAAACATTATGTAATAAGATAGACTAGAAATTGAAGTCAAAGAGAGAATTAGTGTAGTCATTCAGCCAGTTAGTAGAAGAGTATATAACTTCAGAGAACCTTCAGAACAAACAATTCTTGTTACCAAAACTCATGAGTATCCTGGGTTAATGAATAAAGGGATAGATACTTCAAAAATTGCAAGAGGTGGAGACCAATCTAAGAGGGATATTCATCATTGAATATCCAACAAACATGAACATTTAGGATGTATTTGGTACTTATTCTTGCAGTGGAGGTGTTGTGGATAAAATAGTCGCCTAGCACATGGAGTTTCCAATTCAGCTCAACCAACCCAGCAAATGAAAGAACACAATTGTATGCAATAAGGTTCAATCATTCCAAAAGGAAATAGAAATGAGAAATATAGAGACCATGAAAAGCAAATATACTATTAAGAATGTGGAGTGGTCATTAGAAACAAAAAAACAAAACTCAAAAGCCAGAGTCACCATGAAGCTGAGACTCAGTCACATTCCCCACAGGAGAGAGAGGGCACTGTCAACTTGGTAAATCTGAGAAGTTTTAATAAAAGAACTACTTACAAAGGCAAAGCCAGGTGAAAGGAAGTTACAACATATGATTCAGTACGCAATCTAAAAACACAAGAACACGAGTCATCTTTGAAACAAAAAAGTCCCAAGACAAGGACAGGACAGGTTTCCTGGAGAAAATTTTGCAAAATATTGCTGTTCTCATTGGCTAGTAATCAAGAAGTGACTCTTGGTCAGGACACCTGCTGTTATAAAAATCCTTGGTCGTATTTTATTTTTAGCCATTTCTGAGCAATCTCTCCACAGCTTATCAAGTTGGCTGCTATGGGGGAAAACAGGGGAGTTGCAGACCGAGAAGAAGAGTTATAGACTTTCAGACCAGTCCAATTTGACCTGTAACTGCGGAAACAGCTTCCATGAGATTCTCACCCTGGAGATGATCACGAGCCATGTGCAGCCAACTGCAGCTGACTGGTGTTCATGATCAGCAGCAGTAAATGGACTCTAGCCAAGTCCACTCACCTTGCTTTCTCATCCAATAAGGTTTAATTCCTTTGTTTCAAACCCCTTCCTTAAATCTATATACAGATCCCTAGTCCTGGCACCTCAGCCTGTTTTCTTATTCCCAGAGAGGTCTATTCAGAGCTCTTTCCTTTCTCATTGGCTAATCAGTGAACACTGACTCCTTACCTACCCTCAGTGGGGGCTGTGGAGTCCTCTCTTCAATCTTGACCAGCAGGTCTCCAGAGCCCTTTCCTGGGGCTGGGAGCAGGGATCCTCCAGTCCAACCCTCTTATCCCCAGCAGGGGGAGCAGGGGGCAGGAACTGGTTCCCTCCCAGTTAATAGGCCCATGTTGTTGGAGGGTGGGATGGGCTGAGGGGTGCCTGGAGCCCTCCCTTGTCTAGTCTTCCTTACATCTGTAGGGGATTTTAGAACATAGAATTCTCAAATGTAGTGACTATTGCTTTATCTCCACCTTGCTCTCCTTCCCTGTTTCCTGTCCATGGGGGTCGATATGGGAAAAGACAATAGGATGTCAGAGGGCAGGGGACCCCAGAGGTGGAGAATGGACCTGGGTAGATAGATACACAGAAGACAGTGAGCACCCGTGACAGGCTCTTTCCAAATGACTTTCTGGTGCTGCACCCAGGATTTTTTTTATGCCAGTATATTTACTGTTGCCACTTTCCTAAACCCATCTCATCCCTCATCTTCTCCATGAAACTGCACTCACCTCTCCTATGAAGTTAGCTTATCAAGACCTGCACTTCAAGACATGTGTGATACCTAAGTATTTCCTTTCTTCTAATCTGGAAATCAATTTGTTGATATTTCGGCAGTTAAAATGTAATACTCTTTCTGTAAGAAAAGGGAAGAGAAAGATGTAGGAGCTAGGTTAGAACACAGTTCTAAAATAAGACTTCTGGATGAGTAAGAAAAAGCTGAAAGAGTGACAAGAGAGAAAAAAAAAAACAGCAGTCAATATTAAAAAATGAACAATAGGACATGGATCTCAGCATATTTTGTTGAAATATGAAGTTTGTGGTTTAGTGGTGACTTTAACTGGAATATACAGATCCCCGCTCTTCTAGGCAATAATTTACAGGGTAATTAAGCCATGATGTATTAATACATTTTTCAGAAAAACATGTTGGGATATGGTTAGTATTTCAGTTACGGGAATGAAGCCAAAATGAATTGGTATCTACAAAAGAAAGACGCAGGAATATGTTGGCCTTCACCAGGTCTTTAAGAAACTGCCACCTGTCTCTTGGCTAGGTGAGGGAAATTGATGAATAAAACCCAACTTTAAAATGTTTTAGTATTACCCAATGATATAAGGAAAGCATCTGAACAGGGCATCCCAATATATCTTAAACTAATCTTTTAATTTCATCTAATTATTGTTTGTTGTGGTTGTTGTTAGTCATTTGAACCTGATAGAATATATAACCACTGAAGAAAAGAAAATGTTTGTATTCCAACTATAAGGAACTCCTTATAGAAGGAAATAATTCAGCAATTGTTGAATGAATGGAATTAAGGAGGACTGAAATTGACATAAAAATCAACTAGCTTCACTGTGATTAAATAGAACAAGCAAGTTTTAACTAATGAACAGCAATGTTAGAGTTCGCCTGTCAGATAAAGGAGTATGTCATTAGACTGGAAATTAGAATGCCTTGATGCTGGACTAAGTTTGTCTTTGGCTCATAAAATTTAGTTGTACTGGAAATGGCTGTTTTGATAATGTCTCCATTGCTTCTAGTTCAAATAATCTAGAAATTGAAATATTTCCAATCTTGGCTGGAGTTGTAAACAAAACAATAGGACCCCAAAATTGTAACCTCAGCATTTGTATAGAGAGAAGAAATAACAAGGTAAATACATAGGAGTGAGACATATTTTTAGTGTATATTTCCCAAATACATATGGTTGATCAGTGGCAAACAAGTGATTTCACTGAGGGTATTGAAAATTTATATAAAATGATCCTTAAGTCTTGGGAGTCAAATTTTTCAAATTGAAGTAAACTGGACTAGTCCAAGTTAACCCTGGACTGGTCAAAAATTCACCTTGATAGCCACATATAAAGAACATTCCCAAACTCCCTTCTAGTACTTTTTATTACTTTTCTTGTAAAACAAAGAATAAACACACATTACTTTTGCTATTTTCTCTTGACACAATTATGCTGTCAGACTACCTAGAAATTACATTATTCTTATGGTTTTTTATATTTCCTATAGATTTTGAAAATGCACACAGGACCAGATTAATTTATTGTGATCTCACCTTTCATTAAATCCATCTGGACACTTGATATTACAATATAACTAGATTCTGAATCTTTTATTTTCTTCAGATTTTACATTTAGGACTGACAATCTGGGATATATAAAGTAAACATTGATTGAATAGATAGGCGTAAGTACAGTTTAGGCCTGATTTCATTCTGTGTCCCACTGGACATAACCATATGTGTCCATGAAGTTATCCTATTGTGAGGTTAGCAGAACAGTCTCAGGGTGCCAGTCATATGATCTGGGTTCTAGATTATTCCCTATAACTTAGTATGTATCCTTGAACTATGCATTTATCCATATCTAACCTTTACTTTTCTTTTTTGCAATCTATAATAATCACAACCTTACTTTATGATATTTTGCAAAAATTCAAATGTGGTAAAGACGATCTATGCTTTTTAAATGATTAAGTGTTACTCGATTATAAGCCTACTGGTTTTTATGAGTCTCATTTTCATTTTCAATTAATATGAAGTGAATTCAATTGTGCAATGAAAAGAGTTGACTTTGGTCTATCTAATACAAAGACCCCTGCATTCAGCTTCCACATTTGTTATTCCATGGTCATGTAATTTTGGGCAAATTTATTAACCCTTATGGAGAGTGGTCATATCATTTATTAAGTGGGGAAAATAGGACCTATTCATAGAAATAGAATCCCTTTCACTTAGTCATTTAGCTACTATTAATTATTTCTCTACATATATCTTAGATTGTACTTCTTCCCCAAAATACATAATGCAAAGATACCTTGCCTTTTTCTTGATATTACAACTTAGAAGCTAAGGAGAAGTCAAAAAGGTTCTTAAGAGTCCCAAGGAAAATTAGTGGCTCAGAAAATAGGATGTGTGAAGTAAGTTGAAAACAATCAGGTAATTTGAAACCAAGCAAAAACTAAGGGGGGATTGAAAATGACATTTCTGAAATGAATAAGAGGATGGGATGATGAGCATCTCTTTCTACCCATAAAGATGAGAAATAAGCAGGCAGGTTGAGAAACTGCAATTGTATGATTTCCACTAAGGGCGCTGGGTCAAGTATAGACATGAATTTCCTCTGCCTCATCCCAAAACCCACAAAGGCACTTGAGACACCCACAAAGGACAGTGTGACATATGCAATACTGTGTGATATATATTGTTCTTTATAAAAAGGCAATAATCTACAAAGCAAATAGGGAATGAGAGGTCATAAAGCCAAAATTTAGGAAGCTAGAAAACAGACAAGTAGCAACTGATGAGTGAATTGAAAAGGCTGACTCCCCAGTGGTATTAGTGAACATGGATAAGCAGCCTGATTTATGCCACAGAACTCCCTATAGTCCAGAAGCCTTAGGTTTTAATGCAGAGACTAAAGCCAGGAAAATGTATTGAATGTCTGTGTAAATAAAAAGCTGCTGGATCCTCTGTTAGTCATCACAGACTTGTTCTTTCCCTTTCTCTTTAAGGGCAAAAGATGACACATGATTAGTATTTCACCTGCACAAACAGAGGGTCTCTGCCCTGGGAGACTCCAGACACAGTTGAAAGTGGAGTACCAAGCTCAAGCTGAAAACTGAGAAAGTAAGTTAACTGAGTGTTAATGGCTTGGAAAATAGGATAGGTAAAGGAAGTTTAGAGTTGAATGCACTGATGCAGAGATACCCAACATTTCTTCCTTATTTAGCTGCTAGGTAGGGTGGTCTTGTAATTTACTACCCAATCTGGGACACTTTAGATAATGAAATAGGGTGTCATTTGTAATTATTTATTTTGGAACATGTTATAAAAGAGACATCTCCCAGTCAAACTGGGGTTTATGTGGCTATGAGCCTATTCCTTAGAACTCTAGTGGCTGAATATACCTCCCAGAGAGCTATCAACAACAGATCCTACTCTGAGGAACTCTGAAAAACACAAGAGGAAAGATCTAAAGAGTCTGACATCCAAAATCCCTTTAAGAAATAGCGTGGTCAGCCAGCTCTGCAGTGAGGCCACAGTCATCATGTTTCTGTATGAACAGCATTGACAAAGCAAAATAAAGTCAAGCCTAGACAGTGATCTTAGTAAAATAAAAATATTTGGAGGGAATGAAACATGCATTCAGGAGTGAGCTGGGGGAAGTTCAAAAAGGGAGATGAATCCTCATCTTCTATGCAAATCAATCAGTAATACATAAATGTCAAAGATAAAATCTCAGCATATAAGCATGTTCTTTAAAAATATGGATATCAGTTTTGGAAAAAACACACTCAAATAAGTGAAAGAGAGAGATTGCAAAGAGTGGGAAATAGTGAGGGCAGGAGGCTGCCATTTTTTTTCATAACAGATCGGGTAAGCTATTTGACCTGCTAACCTAGGGTTTTGGCAAAAAGTGGGATGGAGGTCAAATCTGTCTTGGTGGTCTACTTTACTCAAAAATGAAAGGTGCTTTCCACAGACACAGTCACCCCATTCACTTGTGTATCCCTATGGCTGCAGAAGCAGTCTAACAGCAGAGGTGAGCAGTTGCAACAGACACCAAATGCTTGGCGTAAAATATTTATTTCTGGCAATATATAGAAAAAAAGCTTGCTGATAGGTCATCTGAACTGAAGATGCATAGTTGATTTAAAAGAATTTAAAAAAAAAATAACATAGTGGTGTTGAATACATTTTAAACAATGAATGCTCCCAAGTACCAAAATGATGAGTTGAGCTGAGCAAAATTGACTTTTATTTCAGTTTGGTACAGACACACTTTTCTCTTCTAATTCATTTTGCATTATCCTGTTTGAATTTAGGATGATGAAACACTTAGCATATACCAGACAGTGACTAATCTGTGTTTCAATTAAACAAAGGAAATCCTTATTTGTATCATTATTTATTTGTTACTTTAGGTATTCAACAATTTATATCAATTGTCCATTTGGTGCAAAATATACAATATAGGTTATCTTAAAATGGTTCCTAAGTAACAGCAGCTGTGACCTACAACCACCCACATGGTCTATTAGCAAAACCACCCACATGATTCTCAAGAGCTCAGTGACAGAGCCCAGCACTCAGGTCTGGGCCTGAGAATATAAGTGTTTTCCTTGGGGAAAATTCTGCATGGTATTCTGTCATCATCTTTCTTGTTCAATTGCTTTCACATCACATTATCTTAACATATTACACTGTCTCTTACTGTCATGTTTCTTTATATGCTTCCTAATGAACTCTCTAGATAAAAAAAAAAAAAAAAAAAAAAAAAAAAGAAAAGCCTCCCATGCTTTGGCTAAACAGGAAGTAATATCTAAGACCAGTACATTTCCATCCCTCACCTATACCTGAGGTTTCAAACATCAGTTGTGTCAGCAGTGAAATTTACTCCCCAAAACTGTTGTGTTTGAAAATATATTTTTCAGTGCAAGTGAAGCCTCTACTCTTGGGAGTAAACAAGCTCTCCCACATCAACATTTATTATTGATTCTCTATCTCAGAAACAGCTCAAAAAAGAATCAGTATCTATGTTTTCATCATTACAACATCACATCATTAGTGTAAGGATTGGGAACAATTATACTACCAATAAAAATAGTCTAAAATATAATTTTCCTTCTCTGACATCAAAAAAATGGTATTAGCTAAAGCTAATAATTTATACATATTACCATAGATTCTGTAAAATCCCTCTATGGATATGTGGAAAGGGGGTGGGTTTTAGATAAAGTGAGTTAAAAAAATCAAAAGAGAAAATTAACTCTCAGTTTTAATCAAGACTACACCAAGGTCTGGTGTGCTGGAAAAAAAATTATATTCCTCTTGCACATGGAGTGAAATAAAACTTGAATATGCAGAAAAGGAGGATCCTGGTGGTAGAACATCAATATAAGATTCAGGTAACAGTCAACTATTTCTTCCCAGGGTACTTAAAAGTACTTATTGATTGAGACCAATCACAGTATTTATTACATCATAGGGACTCAATGAATATTGAATGCATGAATCATTGAATGACAATATCTATCAATATACACAAGAATGAATAGTATATTTATCAATATACACAAGAATGAATAGTAAAGCAACACAACAAACTTGGAGAGGTTAGCCACGGGACTGGGGAAAAGATAGTACTGTGAAATGAGTTTAGAGCCTAGAAAGATGTCATTCACACAATCTCCATGAAGTTTCTTTGTCTATCATGCAGACTCTGCATGTGATATTTATATTTTATGAAAAAGTATAGTAGTTCCTCTCTTCATGCTGTCCATAGGTTCCAGGGGCTTTAAACAAAGAAAAGAAAGTCTTTGAATAATATTTCTTTCAACATTCCCCTGGGATTCTTTGATTTCCATCACCATTGTAATAAAACCTGTGTATTTATTTAAGAGCCTGCTATATAATAGCATAAATATAACAGATGCTCATTATAAAATAAACCTGATACATATGGATGTCCTTTTAATAAGAGTCTAAGATGGTAGTGAATGGCTCAAAATCTTGATATATGGATATATGGAAGTTAGTAGCAAGAACACTGTTTTCAGTATCAGAGAAAGTCACTTACATACACTTGTGCCTCTAGACTCACATTCTCATGCTCAATCTTAGTGTAGTAAGAGGTTAATGAAAACTCTTGGTATTATATCACCAAACACACACACACACACACACACACACACACACACACAGAGAGAGAGAGAGAGAGAGAGAGAGAGAGATGAGAAATAATCAAGCAAGAGATATTTTCCCTATGTCAGATATCAGGGTAGACATCCCAGCGGCAGTTTCACTACGTTATCCTAAGGCTTTGATTCTACTCCTAAAGAACACGCAGTTGAATCAAGAAGCAAAGATACAATGAAAGAAGAGAATGTTCAAAAAAATGACCAAACACCTTACAAGTAGGAATGACAATTATTGATATAGTTTAATGCCTAATATTTGATACTTTGGAGTATACAATATCTCTTTATACTCTTTATTAGGCCCCAAAATAAAACTGAAAGTTCAAGAATGTTATTCTGCCCACTTTGCAGATGAGAAAATCAGGCTTCAAAAAAAATGAAACTGCCAATGTAACCCAAATAGTCAACCAAGGAAGCTAATGGTGCTACAGCAAAAAGTGAAGCTTGTTAAAGCAGGGGTTGACTGGTAGAATGAGGAAACACAGTTGGGTGAGGAGACTGAAATGAGAGATAAGGAAGCTTCAAATTAATATGAGAATTTTGTCCTCACAGCAGAAGAAAATAGGTATAAATTAATGAAGGAATACAAGAGCAGAAGCTTACCAATCTTGTCACTTCAAATTAAACAATATTAATGAGTATTACTAAAAGAAGAAGGAAGAAGAGGGCCTCCCCTGGTGGTGCAACAGTGGCGCACTGGGCTGTGAAGCTGCCCACAGTTGCTGCAGTGCCAGTTCAATCCCCGGCCACCAGCGAGGGTCCCACATGGCACGCAGATCTCTCCTGCCGCGCCCGCTGCTACCCTCAGCAGTGTGCTTCGCAGGTCTGCCTGTTCTGCTCCCCGCTATGGCTCTGGTGAATTCTCTCACCCTCCCACGCTTCTGACTGTACCCAGTGCTTGTATAAATAAATAAATAAATCTTAAAAAAAGAAGGAAGAAGAAACAGAAAGAAATGCGGAAGAAGAAACAGAAAGAAATGCAGGAGAAAGAAATGACTGTCTGAAAATAAATAGCAACGTTACATTTTCTCATCAGAATAATGGATTATGTTGGACATTCAATCTGAAAATAATGTTTTGGATTTTAAAAATAGGTCTGTCTTGGTTCAAAGAAGAGTGATAGCCTATTTTTTAAGATTTATTTTTATTTACTTATGCATACAAGAAGTGGGCTGTGGGCCAGAGGTGTGGGGGGGGTGAGAGGGTTCACCAGACACAGAGTGGGGAGCAGTACAGGCAGATCCACTTAAATACACTGCTGAGGGAAGCAGTGGGTGAGTCAGGAGAGGTCTGCTGCACCAGGGGGGTAGATCCCTTGCATGGGATCGAACTGGTGCTGCAGTGGCTGCCAATAACTTCATAGTGCTGAGATTTAACCCCTTGCCCCACCAAGGAGGACCCTAAAAATTATTATGTGTTTAATACTTAATTTTTATTGTACATGACTCCCAAGATTTGGTATATGAGATGCATCATCTGAGAATATCAATTATTTTGCTTAGCTATATCCCAGAGTAGCTGGGATAAAGAGTTAAGGAAAATGATGATAAAACTTTCCTTCATGAATGACAACCCTAAACAACTAATACTTACTCACTGGGGCAGAGTTTGTTCAGTTTTTGTCCAACAAATTTCTTCTATATGACCATGAAATTATCACCATAATCATCAATGAAGATTGAAATTATATAAATAGATGGCATATGGGGGAGGGATATCAAGTGCAACACTTACTTTAATTAGTCAAGGACAAATATCCTATGACATAGGGCTTGGATTCCTGGCATTTTACAACTTTGCTGAGATATGGTAGTTATCTCTGGGTCCCATTTCAAAGCTTATCAATATCTGCAGTCCTTGAGGATATAAAAAGGGTTTATATTTGTTTCATTCTGATAGATTTATGTGGCTGTAATTAAACATAAA